CATTAATTATTAATGTGTCTGTGACTGTGGTCAAACCATTGTTGAATCTATTTTTGCTCTGTTGAATAAACTGCGCTAGTTTACATTTGTTGAGCTTTGATTTTTTATGATTTGATTTGACTTAATTTAAGTCAATCAAATATTACTCGCCATATAAGTTAACCATAACTTAAATTACTGGTCTTATGAGTTTTGTGTTATGACTCATGACTTTTATGATGTATGATGTAGTAGGGGATTGACGATTGGGTGAAAAGCGGCAATACCATAGTCACAAAGAAGACAGAGGTGGAAGTTGGAAGTGTCAGCGCACTTAGCAAGAACGTTCGGCATAATCTAATCATTCATTCTGACTACGCTAGGGTAGAAGCAGCCACGGGCGTAGGACTAAGGAAAGGAGTGAGGTTAGGGGTCAGGAGTCGGGGCGATGAGAAGGGTGACTACACCCTACAACCTTCCTCGCAATTTCAAAACTCATGTGGCTCACTTCACCTGACTGGCTCACCCTGCCTGCTCATCATCTGTCCCCCAGTCATGATGGGAACTGTCCACGTACGCCATAGCATCCCAGACCGTAAAACCACTGCAGCCAGGTTCCCAGGTCGCCTCGCTGCCTCGCACCGACTGCGCAAAGAGGTCGATGAGTGCACCAGCATGGTCCTGGGACCATATCAAACTCGCTGACTGCCTAAACTGCTGCAATACTCCGAACGACCTGCTCGCATTGGAAACCTACGGCACACACTCGCTACTCAGCACAACAAGCTCCAGCGAGTGCTCATCGATACGTGGAGGGCGGCAACCCTGCTCAGTGACATCTCCAGAGATGTCGTCGGAAGCATCACCAGTGGTTCTGAGCATCAAAATGTACAAGCGAGTTCGCAGTTGTGGAACACCGAAATCGCAGCTCCTCAGCTGTACACAAAGGACCGTAGGTGCACTAGATCAGACCTGCACCGAAGCTGTCCGAAAATAATTTAAACTGAGACCAATTCATCAAACCCAAAAACAAAACAGATGAAACGTAGAGCAGACGATGAAACGAACAATGCAGGAACTACAAATGAGATAAACTTGATCATAGTCTAATCGTCGGTAAGTAGATAAGATGAGATCAACAGTGTATCCATAATGGTCTGTAGAAAATCTATAGTCTATAAGTAGTCTATAAGTAGTCATAGTCTATGAGTCTATGACTCTATATTTATAAGTATACGTCATCGTCAGTCTATGAATACTTAAATACTCGGAAGACAGTAGTTAGTAACTGGATTTCTTCGTTTTCTGTTTTTGACTACATAGTTGCGGTCATGTCTAGGCTGTCTGGACGAGACTAGACTCTAGACAACTTGGAAAGCAAAGGGTCCGCATCTTGAAGACACGCAACACATAGTTCGGAATTAGACTTAATCCCACAGGCTCGGCAGGACCTCGACCATCAGCTGCGGGAAGCCACCCACGCAAGACGAAGTCCAGTGGAGTCTGCGGCAGCAGGGGGAATCAGCGCACGGAAAACTCTCTCGGTGGACTTGGACTATATCTCCGGAGGCAGCACTCAACAATTCACACAGCAATGACCAGGCCAATTTCAATTTTCCTCCCGATCCCAGATCTGCTTCCCTTCACATGCACAGTGAAACAAGAGTCAAGATTGAGTGCCATGCATAAACACTTGCATGTGCTCTTGGTCCCAGCGACAGGACATCTACCCCGCCAAATCTGTATGCGCTGACTAGCAAACCAGCAGTTCACATGAGGACGTCTACGCCACGCATAATTACAGCTGCGTTGCACAGCTAAGAAAGCCCTGCAGTTGGCTGGAGAATGTCCATAGCATTCTGGCAGACTTCTCTTGCATCTGCGTCGAGCCCGCCCTGTACAATTTGTTTCTGCAATGCTTCATATGAATTCTGTTTGGCGGATGCATCAATCGAAAAGACGCACCCCAGGTGTATGGAGCGTGCCGGCTTGCTTCTGCTATGAGCAAAGACAAACTTGGGAGAGCCTTTTTCCAAAGGAAGCTCGCAAAAGTAGCATTTGCTGCCATTGCGCTGCACGTAAGCAAACCCCTGAATACCACAGTCACCATGGAAACGACTTGCTTTCGGGGCCGCGACCTTTGAACGCTGGGAGCCTCCATGTGCAGGCCCCACACTCGGGGGTAAAGGAACGTCGCTTGCTCGCACATCTGCTGCTTGCATGGCAGCATGCAGCTCTCGCTCAGCGGCCTCCGGTAAAACCAATGGGTGTGCCTCGGTGCTGCTGCTGCTGCTCCTCGGGTTGCAAGTCAGAACAAGAATTAGCATTGAGCAGATCCAACAAAACTCTGGACACAACATGGATCTGAATGAAGTGCTACCATGGTGTCGAACTCAAAGGCTTGGCAGGATCCTCCATAATAGGACACGGGAGCTCCTCCATGGGGAAACTCCCAAAAGGCACGACATCCGCGGCCCCAGCATTTTCATCATCATCATTATCAGCAGCAGCGCTGGCGGGCGCAGGTGCACCACCTGCAGAACTAGACTTGTCTCTACCTTTCCTTGCAGCAGCAGGGGTTGCCCGCACAGCAGGGGGATGCATCTCTGCCACCATCGCATCCAATCCGAACGGAAGTCTGCCCTTTCTGCGACGCTCTGCTGGTGCTTGGCGGCGCACACGGCGCTCTCTGCCAATTGCAGCACGATATGAGACATCTCGTGGTAAGTGAACCAGAAAGTTGCCCCCCTCATGTCCGAACGTCAGCTGCCGAGACGCATAGATGTTGACCTCAGGCACTCACGAGGACAGCCTAGACCTAGAAGCCTAGAAGAAGCCTTGGAGTTAGAAGTTAGAAGTAAATTGTAACCTAGCTTCAGTAGCAGTAGCAATCGTCTGAGTGATTTAGCTAGAACGATAATCCCGTCAGGGAGCATCAGCAGCAAAACCATCTGCAGCCCCACCAGAGGCCACATGCTGTTGGAGCAAGCTCAGCACAATCCGGTGCGTGGTGGATATCTTCGGCAGCCCACGATCCAAAAGCAGTTGCAGAGAGCACGGACCACTTTTCCAAAGGGGCAGAACATAATGGGCGATGGGCCTACGGCTCATACATCCCAACATCAGCCACGAGGGCTCTGGGTCCTCGATGTCACTCGACGCAGCTTCTGGTGCGATGCACAGCAACAGGGGCTCGGAAACGGCAAGCTTGTGCTGCACCAGGGTGCTGTCAAACTGGGATATGAGACTGGCAACATGCTCGTACAAGTCGTGCCGGCGACACACACCACCGCCGCTGCAAACGCACGGATGCTCGTAGGAGGGAATTGCAGCATTAGGAGTCACAATCCCATCATAAGAGAACATACCCTGAAACCTGGCCGTCGCATCATCGGCCAGGGGCAGAACATGCTCCTTGCGTAAGGCAGACACATGGTCCCAAAGGCCCAAGCCCTTGCTCCACACCTCATGATCCGACACCTGCTGCAAGGTGGTGTCCAGCCGTTGGTTTCCCAAGCGTTGCACTTGTGCTTGTGTCAACTCTAACGAATCAGGCTTTTTTCGGCTGAGCGGCTCTTTCATTAGCTGCTCACGCTGTGCCTGCATCTCTTCGGCACGGACCTTGAATCTCGCCTTACCCCTCGGACTGAGTTCTCTCCATCGCTTGGCAATTTCTTTGTGAATTGAGTTGGCTCCATCTTTCCCAATGCGGTGACTGCGATACTCGGCCCTGCTGCAATGCTGGTGATCTAACTGACACTAACTTAACTTAACTAGTTCAACTACCCTAGGGACCCAAAACCAAAAATATTGAGTTAAGGAAAACCAGGGTATAAACTTACTAAAGCATCTACATCGCCCTACCTTCCTTGCTGACGCCTGATACTAATAAATACTCTTACGCGCCACACACACACACACACAATCGCAAACAGTGGAGCCGCGTCACTTGCAAGACTGCTGGAAAGCATTGTAGGCACTCACCTTCCGTGTCTTGGCCGGTCCTTGCTGAACTTGTCCACATCGAACCGACCTAAGCTAACATGGCCGGCCGGCGCCGGCCCAGCTTAGACCGGACCGAATGAGCATGCAGCATTCTGAGGCTATGGCAGGAGGCCACCCAGTAACCCACTGCGGCGTTTCACGGTGCCTTTGGTTGTGAAGCGGGCCCTTGTTTTCCGTAGGCCTGCTGCAGGAGCGGTTGTGTCCAACAGGCGCGCATGCCGCAAGAGCAGATTGACCTTGCGCTTGCCGGCCCCGAAGGACTCAGCTTCAACTGCCTGTAGGGTCGCTGCGTGATCCTGCATCGTCGAAAGAATGTAGCTGTCACGTTGCAAGTTCGTGGGTCGCTTGGCTCCAGCACGCCGAGTGTCACTTTCGATTTGCACGCCGGCGTGCTGCTTCTCGACTTCTACAGACGATGCTGGGACGTGCAACAAAAGATCCCGGATCATGCTCTGTACGCTGGCATACCGAGCCTCCCTGTCATCAGTCGTCAATCCCGGTGCAAACACTTCTTTCATCAACACCTGGCAAGAGGTGATGAGATACATGTTATTTGGAACTTGAATAATTAATAAATAAGGCCAATTAAGGCTGTACGTAAGTTGCCTATGGGCTATCTTGTCATGAATCATCATAGTGGGCAATCCCGGGCAATGCTGTACAACGAAAACATATGAATCTGCCTGAGCAAAGTGCTGGTCCTTGCAAAGGGTGCATGCGCCCAACTTCTGCTGTTCACGCCACAAGAATTCGAGGCCTTCCTGAGTACTCATGGAAGCAATGCGTAGGCAGGCCGATGTGATGGACTGGTAGGGCAAGACAAGGCGACGCCACGAATCACACATTGTGGTGAAGATCAGAAGAATGCACCTTGTGTAGGGGAGATCAAACTCTGGAAACCAATCAGCTGACTCTGGCTCTGAAAGCAGCAAGTGGTAGTACTGCTGCACGACTTCAAGGCCACGCTCGCCACTGAGCAAACCCAGATTCATGGAACGAAGGTCGTCCTCCCCATATGGGCACTTGCTGGGAGGGTTCAACCCTCGCACACGCAAGTAAAACCTATGACGCACCGTGTCCACCAGACTTGCGCGATCCATAAAAGCAGACAGTGGGCGTGTCAGTAGAACACACTGTGCCAGCTTAGACAAAGTATCTGGCTGACAGAGCAATCTATAAACTCGAGACAATCGTACCTGTTGTCTGACGCTTGGGTCTAAGTCTGGTGCATCATCATCAAGGACCTGCTCAAGCAATACGTCGTCTTGCTTGCTGTTCATGCACTGAGGCCAAATGTGCGCAAGCAGGCCGTGCATTGCTGTATTACGCAGAGCATAGTCAACCGCCGGTTCAAAGTGTTTCCACCTGTAGAGAAGTGGAACCTCAAAGCCATTCCCCAGAGATGCCATCAATGCTTCCTCCAGCCTTGCGCGCATCTCTGGCACGCTGGCACAGCAGCCCGGAGCACACCAGTGCTGCAACTTGCCATCAACGAGAGGCTCACTCCATCGATGGTTCAGCATGCAAAGCACAAGGTCCTGCTGCTTTTCAGTGAGATCCGATGCGCAGATGCTCAGCTTCTTCCGATTATCATTGATGCCTGCTACGATTGTGTCCGGCAGACTTGCAACCTCATGTCGCTCGGCTTGCTGCACCAACAGCTTGATGCCAGCATGAAGACGCTGGCGAAACAATGTGCTCTGGGAGACGTGGGCCATCCGCACGAGTCCTGCCAGCTGCACGGCTCTTTGCGTGAGTGTGTGTTTGCGCGGTGCTTGTGGGTGAGTGGGTGGGTGGGTGGGTGGGTGGGTGGGTGGGTGTGCGGGTGTGGATATGGATGTAGGGTGTAGGTACACATGAGCATGCCATGCTGAGCCTCTTCCACAAAAAATCAAAGGGGGCAGAGAGGGAAGGATTGCCTAGTCTCAACCCATCACTCCTGTGGCTATCCCATCTGCACTGAGTACCGCTGGTTTTTTGGCCAGGCAAGCTTGGTGGTGGCAACAAAATGTAAATATCAATGAAGGGGGAGATCTGCCCGCAGCCAAAGCTTCCTTGCGACGTAGCTGCTCAAGTGCGGCAATACACATATTCACCGGAAGAGAATCCGTGCCTGAGATGAACCGACTTGACTCGTATGACAATTCCCATTACTAGTGCGCAATGTTGGTTACTGACCAATCCAAGTTCAACTGAATTGAGTTGTTGATGACCTCTAGCAGCCAACCAAGCTACACGACACCAAGACTTTCAGGGGAATCGTTGCCCACGCTCTTGCGAGCGCATCACCTCCCATGTGCTCTGACTGCGAAGCTCCACATGTGAGGACGCTGTATCGCAGCAATCTCTCGAACACCGTGCCAGTGTTGGCCTGCAGGCAATGGCTGCTATGCAGGCTAGAAGTAGTTATAGTTATAAGTTATAAGTTA